ATCCGTTTTTACCTTCGGCAAGTGACAAGGCTGTATCATGTGGTTCGCTTCAGTCGTTCTCCACCCGTTGCTGTCACCTACTGTCTTCAACAGGATGGAGAACTCGCTGGCAGGGCGCCGAACGCAACCAGGGTAGATCATTGGTTGAGAAACTTGGTCGAGTCCGCGCAACCCCCCCCCTTCCCCCCTCCCCTTACTCTCCTCTGATACGATCGAGTGGGGCGGAGGAGGGGGGCATGTGCACATGTCGCACACTGAAACAGGAAAAACCGCGAAGACAGGTCAGCAGCAGGGAAAACTTTTCCCCAACGCCGCAAATTCCTCTCAGAAGGCAAATTGACCCCCCCCCAGCAACCATATACACCTCCCTGTTGAGGAATCCCAACAATGAGTGCCCTGAACGCAGCCGCGCGAACACCCCAAGCGCCGAACGAGACTGTTGTAATGGCTCAATGTGACGTGATTGTTTTTAGTCCTCTCAAAAGTTATCACCACCTATAGGCTTTTATAACCTTGGGAACTGATATTTAAAGGACTTTTTGCGCAAAACTGGGATCAGCCTCAACCGGATAGGATTCACCCACGTGATACAGCCTCTGCCCTAATCAAGGGAATGACGGAGCTTTGATAGAGCTTTGCGAAGTGCTCCAAGAAAACTCACAATGTCGTGTCGTTCAACACCCCGTCACGTTAATCCCTGATAAGACAGCTGTCTTGGTTTCACCTTTGCTCTTGGCGAAGTTCAGTTGATTAGTTTTTCATTGTCTCGTGCCATCGGGTCGCGGACGAGCTTTCGCGAACGTTCTCCACGGGACCGCGCATATCGCGGCAATGGCAGCTGGAGCGTGTTTTCCACTTTCACCCACATTCGTTTTCGAATCTCTCGCTTCCTGCGGGGATGAGGATGTTAGGGCGTTTTGCCTCTTGATTCGCTTTCGTTCCTCAATACGCTCTCGTGTGCCTGCAATTCAAATATGTTTCCACTGTCTGCGTGACGCTTTTCATCATTGTCCCGTTTTTTCAAGGATTATGATTCTTTGCTTTTTCAAGCGGTCACGTATCTGTGCTTTCAGTCACGTTCCATTATGATGAGTACTCTCGTTGAAAGTAGCGTTCTTTGGGTGATAACTCATGCACAGTGTTAGGTTTTTTCTAGGGGATCGTTGCGAGACGAGGGCGAAATCGCCTTACAATGTTTCGTGGGCATTATTGACGGCTTTTTGAAACCAACGTAGCACAAGTCTGTTGCGAAGTCATGATTCACAATTGACTCATTCTCGAAAAGTCTCGAGTAGTGCTACACCGAAAAAATTTCCGGTTTGAGGTGATGTTTGTCCGAGCTGCCTTTATACTTTTCGTCGGCTTTTTAAAGACAAACTTCACAATTACTTA